TACTTGATCCTCACACTAGCTTAAACAAGTTACTGAACCTTTCTGAAACTCAGTTGCTTTGTCAGCCTTAAAGTGGGAATAATAATTCCTACACAATGGATTGTTGGAAGGATTCTGAGACAGAGTGTGTGTAAGCATCTTGTACGGCTCATACTCCATGGTCATCTTCAATAAATGTTAGTTACTCTCCCCTGTGCTTCTCTCCTTTGTTTTAGGGAAGAAACTAGGACAGTCAGCCTTGCTGTAGCTCTCCTAGAAAAGACACATGACCTGAAGCGAAAGATAGTTCAGAAGCATACATTAGTGAGATGAACCCCATAGCAGTGTAGTGAGTAACGCTGTTACATAACTTCTGCAAATCACCAGGCAGATCAGCTAACATGGTTTGGCGTGGCTGACCGATAAAATAACAAGGCAGCTTCCAAACCCAGCTTGAGTCGGGGAATCCTGACAAAGGAGCCAGTCAAAATCCAGGATGAATACATGGGCCTTGGAGCGCTGGTGTTTCATCGGACTCAGACATGTTGTAAATCTGTTTCAGTGGAAAAAGCAAAAGCGATTTCTCTCTGGCTGGTCCCCTAAATAACTGTCCCCATGGGGCCTAGAGCAGCTTTCCTTCCCTCGAAAAATCCTTAATCATGTCTCCCGAATATGAGTTTTCCAGGCAGCTGCACAGATGAGAAGGAGGGAGAGACGAGGGAGAGATGAAGGAGAACAGACGTGTGCTGGTCCTGAGGATGTGATTGTTGATTGAATGGCCAAGATGTGTCTCCCACATGTTTTCCTAAAATGTTTAGACTTTCCCAGGGCTCCGTCCTTGCCCTTGTCCTGATGAATGTTTTTATCAGTGAGATGGTGAGGAACACAGAAGGCAACCCTGCCAAATTTTTTATGATATCAAGGTGAAAGGGAGTTTGGGGACAGAATTACAGTTTTTAAATAATTTTGGCAGGTTCTGAGCTGATCACAGCAAGCTGTAATTTAATAGAGGTGATGTTAAAACCTGTACTTCAAAATCAAAAGCAAAGTACAGGTCAGGGAAGGCTTAGATTGAGAAGGGCTGTTGTTTTTTCTTAATGAAAAAAAGGTATAAGGATTGTATTTGACTATAGAAAGGTATGATTCAACAGTATGATGTGTTTGTAAAAAAGAGGTTAGAGACCTGAAAAAGGAAAATAATCCTTCTACCTTACATAATTTGCATTAGTAAGACAATACTTGGTGTGCTATATTCATGTTGGGGCCAAATTTAAGAAAGATATTGATAAATTGGAATTGGTCACTAAGGGAAAGAAGGAAAAAGAAGGATCAAATTAAAAAATCCAAAAACTACATTCTTTAAAGAATGGTCGAAGGAAAATAAGGCTATTTAGCTGTCTTTTACAGTAACCATATGGAAGAGGAATAAACATCTATTTTGCTCTGAAGGACAGAAATGGGATTAATGAGAGAGAGAGCTCATGGAAACAGATTTTGGCTCAGTAGAAGGAAATCTTTTCAAATAATTAGAGCAGTTCAGTGAAAATGACTATTTCATTTAAATTGTGAGCTTCCTGTCACTGGAAATATTTAAGCTAAGGCTGGATGAGTGTCTGTCTGGAATTCTGAAGGCTCCCAGCATTGAACAAGAGCCTGGGGTAGATGACCTTTAAGACCACTTCTAACTCCCAGGGTCTATAATTTAAGTAAGCATGAATGCCAAGGTCACTTATGACATGCCAGAGCCACTTTTTCAGCTCTTGGCTCTGATTTGGACCAGCTGTGTGACCTTCTGCTAAGAACTGAACCATTTCTTCTTCCAGTTTCCTCATCCGTAACATGAGGGAGCTGGATCGAATGATGTCTGAGTCCTCCCCGGCACATCTGTCCCCTGAAGCACCCTCATGATGACAGTGTGTTGGGAAAGTAGAGTTCGAGCTGATAGCTGCCATTTGTTGAAGTCCATTTGCAGGGAGAAGGCTTTTAAAAACCAAAAACCATTGTTGATTGTGGGGCTATTGAACTAAAGTCTCAATTGCTTGTTGGCAAGAGAGTGGGTGATTGTGATCCTAGAATTTGTTCCCATGAGACCTGTGGCAGGAAGTCGATCAAATAACTGATAATCTGGTTCCTCTCAAGCACCTGTACTTTCTGGCCGAGTTCAGCAATGCCTTTGCAAACAACTTGAGAGAAATGAAGATCATATTACCATTGCAATAGAGTTCTATTTTGCAAAGCAAACCTTTGTTCTTTATTTCCTCAATGATCTGGCTGTTGCTGTTGAGCTTTGTTTATAATCCTAAGAGCCAGTATCCATAAAGCAACTTATCATGTGGCAGAGACTGTTCTTAAAGTTTTATATAAATTAATTTAATCAGTTTATAAACTGAAAATCTAATGACGAAGCAATAGATTAGATCCTTTCCCCTATGGTAAAAGAGTAGCTAAGATCCATTAAAGTCTGTCTTCATGGTAAAGAGTCCAGAATTCAGATCCACACCCTCATTCTTTTAAGCTTCAGTGCTGATGTTCAATTACTATAATTTCCTCCGTGGTCCATTTGATTAACAATACTTTCCTTCTCTGCCTATAGTAAGGTGTGCTAGCCTCCACTGCTACTACATTCTAGCTCTTCCATTTATTCTTTGACTATTCTCTGACTCACACATTATTGTCTCAAATCCCATTTCCTCACTTATTTTCCCTCCAAAGATCTTTAAAAGTGGGGGTGTCATTATTTGCTCTGACGTAGATATAAAAAGTATGGACAGGCCCTGGACAGGTAGCTCAGTTGGTTGGAGCGTTGTCCCAATGCACCAAGGTTGTGGGTTCAATTTCTAGTCAGGATACATATAGAAGGCAACCAATGAATGCATAAATGGGAAGAACAACAAATCTCTCTCTCCCACTCTCTCAAATCAATAAATTAAAAAAAAAATTAAGTATGGACAGGATTTCAAATACCTCCTCCACTTACTGAGATCAGCAGGGGAAGAAATAAGTAAATATATGCTTATTGTAAGGATGGGAGAATTTAAAACTCCATTCCCAGGCTCTCGGGTCTGGCAATACTCACTCCATCCAAGTACCACATTTTGTTCCATCTTTTTGTTTCCTTAGGTTGGAAATGAAAACAGCTGTTAGAAATAAGAGCACATGAGTCAATCTTGAATCTCAATGTGATAATTACAGTTTCCGTCTCAGTTGGTAGAGCCCCTCCCAGTGTACTGAGCCCAGTATCACAGCCCCCTTGCTGTCAGTTTTACATACCAAGACCTTAATTGTTGTTTTCCAAGCTTTTAAGATTAAACACTAAATCAGTTGCCAAACCAGAAAAAATAACAAGGAAGAAAATACTTCAATTTAAAAACTTGATTCTTAGAACATGGCTTTTTTTTTCTGATTTATATTTTGACCAAAATCTCTATGTTGATATAAGAAATGTCAGTTACTGTTTCACATTTTTGAAGATGGAGCTTCTGGACTTCTTGGCACCCTCCCTGTGAAGCATTTTGCTTGGATTCTTTTCTTTTCTTTCTTTTCTTTCTTTTCTTTCTTTCTTTCTTTCTTTCTTTCTTTCTTTCTTCCTCACCCAAGGATATGTTGTTATTGTTTTTTTATTGATTTTAAAATGAGAGAGACCAAGGGAGAGAGAGAGAGAGAGAGAGAGAAACATGGATCAGGATGATGCTCTAACCAACTGAGCCACCCAGCCAGGGCCTGCTCGGACTCTTTACAGAGGCGATGCCTTGAATTTCATTTTCTCTTTCCCACGTTCCTGAGGTTTAGAACCTAATAAGCCAATCTCAAAAGAGTCATCCACAACCTATTAATTGATTGTCACCTTTCAGAGCAGATGGGTCCTCTTTTAGTTCTGTTCAGGAGAGAGAGAGAGAGAGAGAGAGAAACATGGATCAGGATGATGCTCTAACCAACTGAGCCACCCAGCCAGGGCCTGCTCGGACTCTTTACAGAGGCGATGCCTTGAATTTCATTTTCTCTTTCCCACGTTCCTGAGGTTTAGAACCTAATAAGCCAATCTCAAAAGAGTCATCCACAACCTATTAATTGATTGTGACCTTTCAGAGCAGATGGGTCCTCTTTTAGTTCTGTTCAGTCCCCGTATGAGCCACTCAATCCTTGACTGCCTAAGGCTCTGAAAGTCCCCCATGAATCAGCTGACCAATCTAAGATTGCCCTGCAAATGCAGAACACATTGTGACCTACACAGAGAGAAGCAGGAGGCAAGAAACCAGGTCCTTTGAATTGCTTCACTTTGCCCACTTTATTTCTCATTCTACAATTTGATTTCTTTGTTGTGAGATGATGTTATTTTTATAATTCATTTCCCTGCTAAGATATCTATAATTTTCTGTTATCATTGTGGACAAGAGCTGGTTTTATGTATTGAAAATTGTTTTGGTCAGTTTGGAGTGCTGTAACAAAAATACCATAGTCTTGGAAGTCCAAGATAAGGTGTTGAGGCAGGTCGTGTACAGCCAGCAGGTGTCTAGGTGCCTGAGAGAGGGAAGCAATGAGAGAGAGAGAGATGCTTCTAGTTCTAACCAGTATGCTCAGTAATTGATAGAATTAATCAGCTAGACTGCTGAGCAAGTAACGTGATCTGTACCTGCAAATGAACTTTGAATTCAGTACTTGCTTAATTTTTCTGTGTCCCATAATTCTGCTCCTTATAATATTCAGGTACCTAGGTGCCTGAGAGAGGGAAGCAATGAGAGAGAGAGAGAGAGAGAGAGAGAGAGAGAGAGAGAGATACTTCTAGTTCTAACCAGTACACTCAGTAATTGATAGAATTAATCAGCTAGTCTGTTGAGCAAGTAATGTGACCTGTACCTGCAAATGAACTTTGAATTCAGTACTTGCTTAATTTTTCTGTGTCCCATAATTCTGCTCCTTATAATATTCAGGTAATGCTGGGTTTCTGAACCATTACGCTTAAAGAACCACGGACAGATGTAAAATATTTTTCTTTGCTAAATGCTCTTACCTCTTTCTTTTAGATTACATGAAGCAGACAACGTTCGAAGCCCAAGCCTTTTTAGAAGCCGTGCAGTTCTTCCGACAGGAGAAAGGTCACTATGGCTCATGGGAAATGATGACTGGGGATGAAATCCAGGTAACACGGAGCTCAATTTTGAATCTGGTTTTCTGTCTGGGAGGTGGGAGGCCAGGGTCATAATAAACAATCAAACAAAGAAAGTTATAAGACTGGGAAGATGTGGAACCAAAGACCATTTCTCTCATTGTCTAGAACAGTGATGGCGAACCTATGACACGCGTGTCAGAGGTGACACGCGAACTCATTTTTTTGGCTGATTTTTCTTTGTTAAATGGCATTTAAATATATAAAATAAATATCAAAAATATAAGTCTTTGTTTTACTATGGTTGCAAATATAAAAAAATTTCTATATGTGACATGGCACCAGAGTTAAGTTAGGGTTTTTCAAAATGCTGACACGCCGAGCTCAAAAGGTTCGCCATCACTGGAGAAGCTTTTGGTCAGCACCCACTCCAAAGACCACCAGACCAGACATGAGCTAGGGCAGCCAAAAACTGCAAGGGCAATGGGAAGAACTACTTCTACTTTTTTCTATAAAAGTGATTAGTCTTTCAGATGACCTTCTGCTTCCAGAGGAGAAGTAAATGTGAACAGCATGGTTGAGTGCAAAGTGTGTGGTGGGGATTTTGGGCAGCAGACTTGGGTTAGTTCAATCTTGCCAAGTTATTTAACCTCTTTCAGTCTCAGGTGACTCTTCTGAAAGAAAGATAATGTTTGCCTTGCAGGGTTGTAAGAATTAAATGAGATGTTTTGGGAAAGTATTTGGCACACAGTTGTCTTTATCTTTTAAATGACTTATAAATGAAGTGATTAAAGGAGACACACACATTTTAAAAGCATGAGACAGTTTTCTGTATGTTTCTAGTTTGCCATTCTCTGTGGTCCAGTATAATTTTCCATGACCTTAATTAAATGCCAGTCATGGGCTAAGCACCATGACTTGGTCCCTGGGGCATTGTTACAAATCTCCAAGGCAACCGTGCTTCATGATGGGAGCCCGTCCTCCATGAGGACGCCAATCACAGGGCTGATTCGGCAGGAAGAGGAGGCTGGCTATGGGCCTTATTTAACTAGAGGCACACAGAGTCCATGAATGGTTTTCTTTAATTTCCCCTCATCTCCCAGAGGTGCCTCTTTTGGGAGCCAGTAAAATGTGTTATTAGGGAACAATATTTGGGAGATGCCAGATGGTGCCCTGCTTTTGTATAGTCATGAAACATCCAAAGCTGAAAACTCTTTCACATGAAGATGGAACTGTTTTTATTGTTTCACCATGTGACTCCGAATCTTCTCCTCCTCCCTCTTCTTATTCTGGTGGATTCTAAATTCTTTTTTTTTTTTAATATTTTTTTTATTGACTTCAGAGGGGAAGAGAAAGATAGAAACATCAATGATGAGAGAGAATCATTGATCAGCTGCCTCCTGTACGCCCCCTACTGGGGATTGAGCTCATAACCGGGGCATGTGCCCTGACTGGGAATTAAACCGTGACCTCCTGGTTCATAAGTCAATGCTCAATCACTGAGCCACACTGGCTGGGCTAAATTTTTTATTCCCCACCCTGAGATTATTCAAGAACTTTCACCAATTCTTGGTTTCTGATATTTTGGGGAAGCACATCTTTTATAAATCTGAGAGGATTAAGGACCAACCATACTTATGCCAAAAATAAAACAAAAGCATAAGGGGAGGCTGAAGTACTTGACCCTGATTGGTCTGTCATATGAACAAACATATTGAATAGATGCACCGATATTAAAGTGCCCCTGTGCAATACTTTTTTATGTTCACAGCCTAATTCTATCTGTTCATCTTACCAATCTCATGAGGTGGGTAGAGCAGTTATTATTATTTTCATTTTGTAAATGAGAAAACAGGGAGGCCTGTAGCAATTAAGTGACTTGCCCGGTTTTTTCATTCAACAACTGTTTGTGGAGCTACCGTATGCCAGGTGCTCTGCTGGGTGCCAGTGACCCGGGGGTGGGCAAAGCAGAACAATCGCTGTCCTGTGGAGCTGATGGGTTCAGGGTCACACTAAGGGGACAATGGCCAAGGCAATGACAGCTTCTGACTCCTAGTCCAGTGAAAGATCAGCACCAACCATGTAATACACTAACTCACACAATCAGTAAGCTCCTTGCTTCAGGCTGTGCCACTTGCTTCATTTTTTTTCTTTCATTTGCAATCTCATGTCAGTTCACATTCCTTCCCCATGCCATTGAGAGCAGGCACTTCATAAGTCCTTCCTGTGGGTTGACTATTGAGTCTGTTGTGTTTGCTTTTGTTGACTTTCAGCTTTTTGCTTTGGGCTGATACGTGCAGAGTGCTCTAGGGTGTGAGGGAGCTAAATGACTCATCCCCTGCCCTGCCAGTGAGGCAAGACCTACCTAGAAACATCCAGAGAACGAGGCAGCCTTCGAAGTGTGGGTGGGTGCATATGTGGGGCTGTACATATATGGGCATCTTAAAGCATCAGCAGAGAGCAGTCATAGGAAGGTGCTAATGTGGAAGTATAAAAATACCCTAAGGGGAAAAACAAAACCAATGAAAAACCCGAGTAGAGGTCAGTAAAAGCTGGAGTTAGCGCGTGACCCAAGAGGTTTGGCTCCCCCTAGAATCTGAGCATCTTTGGTGAAATCATAGACTCATAAAACGTGAGTGTTGGAGGGGAATTTCCAGATCATTTGTCCCGGACCCTCCAGGAGAGAGAAAGAACCTCCAGAGATGTTAGTTGGCGGAAGTCACAAAGCCCATCTGTGACAGAAATGCCTTTTGAGCCATGTCAGGCTCTCCCTGGAGAAGCCCGTGAAAGGTAATGGCTTCCAGAACTTTCCTGGGTGGGGCCTGGTGAGGGTAAGCTGCACAGTAAGCTCTTCTGCACAGAGCTGGAGCAATGTCTGTCCTCAGACGCACAGAAAAAAGAGGTCGGGGGCCCAAAGCAGCTGCCCAGTAGTTGAAGGATGTGGTGTGGCGTTACTGGGTTTGAGAATATGACATCTTTTATTTAAAGCACTGGGCTTATTTGCATTGTTTCTACTAAGAACTTAGTCATAAGATTGTTCCAACCCCCGCTACCCTAGGGGCCTGTATTCATATGTTCATCGTTGTTACACTATTATCTTCACAGTCATGACTCACACAACACGTTTGGCAGGTCCCTGTGGCCATGGTTATTTTAGGCAAGTGTCCAGGCAAAGCAGATCTCTCAGAATAACTTGCCTGACAGGCTATTAATACAGAATATTAATATAGACAAAAATACAATCGTTCCCCCTTATCTGCGGTTTTGTTTTCCAAAGTTTCAGTTACCTGTGGTCAACTATGGTCTGATACTGAATGGAAAATTCCAGAAATAAACAATTCAGCCAGTGTGGCGCAGTGGTTGAGCACGGACCGATGCACCAGGAGGTCAGGGCTCAATTCCCGGTCAGGGCAGTCAGGGCACATGCCTGGGTTGCATGCTCGATCCCCAGTCGGGGGTGTGCAGGAGGCAGCCAATCAAGGATTCTCTCTCTTCATTAAAGTTTCCATCTCTCTCCCCCTCTCCCTTCCTCTCTGAAATAAATTAATAAAACATACTTATAAGAAAGAAAAAAGAAATCAGCAATTCATAAGTTCTAAATTGTGCACCATTCTGAGTAGCATGATAAAATCTCTCACAGCCCTGCTTCGTTCTGCCTGGGAGGTGAATCATCCTTTTGTCCACCGTCTCCGCATTGTACATGCCACGCGCCCCTTAGTCACGTAGTAGCCACCTCCGTTATCGGATCAGTTATCAGAGAGAAAGATGAGAGAGAGAGACCCCATACACATAAACTCTTATTTACAGTATATTATGATAATTGTCCTATTGTATGATTAAGTGATCGTTACTGATTTCTTACTGTGCCTAATTTGTAAATTAACTTGATCACCGCTATGTATGCATTGGAAAAGACCTACTGTATCTAGGGTTCGGTGCCACCTGCGGTTTCAGGCATCCACTAGGGGTCCTGGAATGTATCCCTCCCGATAAGGGGGGACCACTCTATCTGTACAGCAGTAAATATATCTTCTACTTGTCAGCATCAATGTATCAAATGAGGTCATGAGGGAAAGCATTTTGCAGAATGTAAGGATTTTGTTTTTTGGGATATTTATCATTTGCCTTTAAATGATCAGTGGGCCCGAGAAAGCAGCATTGCCACAGAATAGGGCGGCTAAAATACAGGAAAACTACCTACATTTTTTTTTAGGCCTTGTCCATAGGTTTCGGGGTTAGAGGAAGAGATACAGGTGGGCTCTGCACCCAGAGGCTCTGCCCTGCCCTGTGGCCATCCCTCGGCCCCTGCCCTGGCAACTCCCATACCCTCCTCTTTTCCCCTAGATATATTTCCTTTTCAATTGCTGAAGTTATAAAATAGAACCAACTTTCTTGGAACATTACATGGGAGAGACTAAAAGAAAACGCTAAGCCCACCCCAATGGGGCATTCCTTTACTGTGTGACATTTCTCCTTTCATGCTGATGTGCAGATTGAAATCTCTGCAAAACTTTGCAATCTGTGTAAAAAGATGAATCAGGGCAATTAATATCGTTAGGGCAATTATCTCGCAGTTAACACTTTTCAGCTGAGGTAATATTTCCCACTGATTTTAAGTTCTGGCTTCAGTCTCCTCACGCTCTTAGCTCACTCTCCCCAGGCCACACTTTCATCACTCTTGGGCAGATGTGTTCCAAACAAGAACTGACTCCATTGAGCAGGTGGGGGGCGGGGGGGGCGGGGAGGGTCCATGGATCATTAATTACCAACTTGAATCTCTAACTGTTGGATCTGCTGGCTTCCATGGAGTTTGCACATGTTAACTTCCTAAAGATGCTGGTTCACCTTTTGAACTCCCCTAGAGAATGGTTAAGAAAGGTATAAACATTCCCCCTCCACGCCCCCCAGTGAATTACCAGGACTAGGGGAAATCCTCTCTCCATCATGCTCTTTGTCACACCACGGAGTTCCATGTCTCAGATGACGGGCCCCCACTTCCTGCATTGGCCCCAGCAGCCTTCTCTCCCAGGAACCCACAGGTGCAGCGGACTGATGGGTGGCTTGCCCACCTCCACGCTGGGAGTGCTCCTCCTAAGTTCAGCTGGACCATCACACCCCGCTGTAGCAGCCCTGGTGAAAGGCAACGTCCTGTGAGCTCATGAGGATTTTCCACCAGCATGAGGCTGGGCGATGACCTCAGAGAAAATCTTTCTTAGTTAATTCCCCAAGTTTAATTTTAATTTCTATGAGGTCGATTATTTCGGACAAATATTATTTTCAATTCATAGTGCAGATGTCAAATGATTCTGTACTTTTGTGCCTGCCTCCATTCCACAAATGACTTGTGTTGGGTTTTTTTTGTAAATCTTGGTCTGCAGCCGGATGCAGTATTGAGAGCTGAAAGCTGAGCCCTGAGAGACGCAGGGCAATGTGAATTTGAACAATCAGACAGCTCCAAGTGGGGGGTATGGGGATGTAAAGAAGAGGGGCCGGTGTACTTGGAGTATGATGTGGGGACCTGTGGAATCCCGCTCAGATTCAGAAGAAACAATTTCATTGAACCAAGCAAAATGCTAGAAGAGACTTGGGAGCACTTTTAAAAATCACCTTGAAAATGTTAGACACGCCCTGCCCCCCCCCCCAACACACACTTATATGCTGCTCATCCCACAAATGTCTAGTTATTCCTAAGTGTTTGTGACTCCCTTCTTTTTCTAAACTTGAAACGAGAATGGAGGTGGGATTCAGGGAACAGTGAAGTCAAAGAGCATGAAGACACTTCGAACCCGAGGGAGTCTGAGGAGGAACAATGGTTTGGGGGATACAGACAAGGACTCAAGCCACCACGACCAAGCCTGTCCCCTTCACAGTTTTCCTAAGGATGCCCTTATCCAGAATTGAAGTGTCCCCTCTCTTCCCAAATGCGTTAGCTTCTTCCGGTTTCCGACAGGAGAAGTTTGATTTGAGGAATTTGTCCTTTCTGATGGGGGAACATTAGCAGGAGTTATAGTTCCTTGTGGATGTTTATGAATGTTTGCCCTGGGAGGTTGTCTTCATTGACCCAGAATGAAACTGTTAACCTAGCAGGTTTCATGTAGCTCAGGACACCTCCCCCTCCCCCCCACCCCCACCCCCCCTCTCCCAATGCAGCTGCGATGGGGATGGCCAGTTGTGACATCTTCGGTTGGCATGATGCTCAGTGTTTGCCATTACCAACTAACGGACGGGGGGCTGTCTTCCTCTTCTGCTCCGCAGATCCTGAGTCACATGGTGATGGAGGAGCTGCTGCCAACCCTCCAGGCAGACCTTCTGCCTAAAATGAAGGGGAAGAAGAATGACAGGAAGAGGGCCTGGCACGGGGTAAGGGATGGCATTGCTCGGTGCTCCTCAAAAGACACATTCCTGTCCCTTCTCTTTTTAGGGAACCTTTTTCTTGTTTAAAAGCGAATTCCTTCCCTGGCCTACGTCGAGTCTGCTCAGTCTCACTGAAATGAGGACTAATCCGAGCAGACTCTAGCTTGGAAAGAAACATTCGAACGAATGTGTGCGCAGTCTTGTTGACGTTGTGGTCATCTGTGATGAGCCCTCCCCCCTGTACTTGACTCCGTCGGGCTCTGACACACCACAGAGCCCCGATTGATGTGTTGACCCCTGTCGCAGCTCCTCGAGGAGGCCTACAACCTGGTTCAGCAGCAAGTTTCAGAGGGATTAAGTGCCTTGAAGGAGGAATGCAGAGCTCTGACCAAGGGCCTGGAAGGAACCATCCGTTCAGACATGGATCAGATCGTCAACTCAAAGAACTTCCTAACTGGGAAGATCAGAGGTCAGTGGACATTATCCACGTTCCTGCCAAGGAAATAAGCTGTGCGTTGCGGGTTGCATCGCACCCGCATTGCATCCTGACCGGGAATCAAACCGTGACTTCCTGGTTCATAGGTTGACGCTCAACCACTGAGCCACACCAGCTGGGTGCAAGTCATTTTTAGAAATCATAGATTGTTTTATATTTGAATAGTTAGAAGTCATGGTTTCAGAGGAGAATTAAAACGAGGGGATGGGGAAGAAGTGGTTAGGGTTGTAATAGGAGCCTGCTTAGAGGTGCTGTTAAGGGCCTGGCCCTCCCCATGGAAACTTCAGTGAAACCAGCGGGAGGAAACTTGGCGTCTTGCCTCCTGGGAGGGGGAGGGGGCTGTGTATTCTGATGCCACCTGCACCTCCCCTGTTGTGGCACTTGTTGGCTTATGACCCATGTTCATGATCATTCTGAAATTTCCATGACATGCATTATATGTCTTCTCTCAAAGTTAGTTGATAAAGAAATCGTTATTCGCCTGGCAGACAAAGTTGCATTTGGGTATCAAGCAAGTCATTTTTATTTTATTTTTTAAAATATATTTGCATTGATTTCAGAGAGGAAGAGAGAGGGGGACAGAGAGAGAGAGACATTAATGATGAGGGAGAATCATTGATCAGCTGCCTCCTGCACACCCCCTACTGGTGATCGAGTCCACAACCCAGCATGTGCCCTGACCGGGAATCAAACCGTGACTTCCTGGTTCATAGGTTGACGCTCAACCACTGAGCCACACCAGCTGGGTGCAAGTCATTTTTAGAAATCATAGATTGTTTTATATTTGAATCATGCCATTGGGTGAAAGGTTTTTTCCCCTAGTAATTCTATGACCTGCTTAATATTTCATATCCCAAATATTTACAAGTTATACATAATATTAATAGTATTGGTCATCTTAGCTTCTCAGAAAAAGAGGCAGTATGACCCTCCATATGTCTGTGAATTAGTTCTGAGAATTGAAATAAGAATGTGAGCATTATTGGCACATAACTTGTAAGCAAGTTATGTGCCAATAAAAACTTAAGAAATAGACTTGAAGTTCTGTTTCTGCATATTAGGACGTGACCTTGGTCAAGCCATCTAATATCTTCAGGCCTCTATTTTTCCATATGTAAAATGGAGGATTGGCCATTCAGATGAGTGTGTACTTCCCTCTTCAGTTCCGTGATGCAATGACAAGGCCATGTGACTTACCTAGCTCCTCAGAGCTAGCGTTCCAGTCCAGGCCTCTTCCAGCTCAGGTTTCCTTCACGGGATCACTGATTCCAAACCTGGCCAAACATGAGAATTACCTTAGCCCCCTGGTAAGCAAACTGCGGCTCACGAGCCACATGCGGCTCTTTGGCCCCTTGAGTGTGGCTCTTCCACAAAATACCACGTGCGGGCGCGCACGTACAGTGCGATTGAAACTTCGTGGCCCATGCGCAGAAGTCGGTATTTTGTGGAAGAGCCACACTCAAGGGGCCAAAGAGCCGCATGTGGCTCGCGAGCTGCAGTTTGCCGACCACGGGTCTAGAGTAGACCACACCGCGCTGAGTAAACCTCAGCTCCCAGGTCAGGCCTCTCTAGGATTTTGCCCTTTTCTCCCCACCTCACCACATATTGCTGAGACTGAGAGGAGGCCACACCCTCCTGGGGTTTTGACCCGTCCCCTTCAGGCGTGGACAAATATATTTTTATTGATTTCAGAGAGGAAGGGGGAGAGAGAGATAGAAACATCAATAATGAGAGAGAATCACTAATCCATTGCCTCCTGCACATCCCTCCCTGGGGATCGAGCCCACAACCGGGGCATGTGCCCTGACCAGGAATCAACTGTGACCTCCTGGTGCATAGGCCGACGCTCAACCACTGAACCACACTGGCTGGGTTTCCCGTTCTTCTTACAGATTTTCTGTGCTCTCTATGTTTTTGTCACTGCACATGTTGTACTTGATTATCAGAACAAAAAAATAATGCTTTTTAAAAAATTGGGGGTGGGAATGGGATGTGGGGGGGACAAACTGAAAGGAATTTGTTTCCATTTGTCCAAGAAATGACTGTACTTGAGTTTTTAAAAGTCTCTGGAGAAGGCAAGAGGGGAATTGAATTATATTATATTGATTGACTCTTAGAGAAATTAATTAAAACTATAAATTGTTGTACACAAATAATTAATCATTATGTTGTACACCTGAAACTAATATAATGTTTTATGTCATACCTCAATTTTGAAAAAACCTTAATAAATTTTGATTTTAGAAGGAAACTATGTATACAGGGGTGGGCAAAAGTAGGTGTACAGTTGTGAGTATGAGAAACACAGTTTGTTTTTGTATTATTATTATTTACTCTTGTATTGTGTATTTTTCCATATGAACAACGCGGGCCGTAGTTTGCCCACGGCTGGTCTAATACAAAAAAAGAAAATGCCAGACATAATCAATCATTGTCATTATATACAGGAGTGGGCAAAAGTAGGTGTACAGTTGTGAGTATGAGAAACACAGTTTGTTTTTGTATTATTATTATTTACTCTTGTATTGTGTATTTTTCCATATGAACAACTGTACACCTACTTTTGCCCACCCCTGTATATAATGACAATGATTGACGATGTCTGGCATTTTCTTTTTTGTATTAGACACTGCACGCTTATAGGGACCAAGCAGAAAAATGCATTTCATCCCAGGGCAGAGGAAAGCTCGGGGGAGGGGAGACATTCTGTTTGTTTCCATTTCCAAACCACCTAATGGTTTTCTGTTCTGGTGAATGCGGCCCAGGCCTCGCTGTGCTGGTCTGTCCTGCCCTGTGAGCTTGCCTTGGCTGTTCAATGGCTCTATGGGGCAACTACCCAGCCCTGGCCTGGCTCGAGTGCCTTTGAATCCACTTTCGCCCTAAGTCTCGGTTTCCTGGCTATTTCCTACCACAGCGATGGTGGCCCAGCCCGCGGAGAAAAGCTGTGCGGAGAGCGTGCAGCCATTCCTGGCGTCCATTCTGGAGGAGCTCATGGGACCGGTGAGCTCAGGATTCAGTGAAGTGCGCTCACTCTTTGAAAAAGAAGTGGATGAACTTAGCCAGAACTTCCAGACCAGCAAAGACAATGCCCAGCTGAAGGAGGTAGGTGTGAGGCCAAGGAGTTCGGAGTGGGGCTGCCTCTTCCCTGGGGCTTTATCTGCCTTCATCTAGTCTTTTCTTCCTTCCCACCCTTCCTTCCTTCATTCAGCTGCCCTTCCAGCCATTCATCTAGTCCAATGGTTCTCAACCTTCCTGATGCCGCGACCCTTTAATACAGTTCCTCATGTTGTGGTGACCCCCAACCATAAAATTATTTTCGTTGCTACTTCAGAACTGTAATGTTGCTACTGTTATGAATCGTAATGTGAATATCTGATATGCAGGGTGTATTTTCGTTGTTACAAATTGAACATAATTAAAGCATAGTGATTAATCACAAAAACAATTATATATGTGTAAAACAATTATATATATGTAATTATATATGTGTTTTCCGATGGTCTTAGGCGACCCCTGTGAAAGGGTCGTTTGACCCCCAAAGGGGTCGCGACCCACAGGTTGAGAACCGCTGATCTAGTCTGTCTTCCATTCATCCAACAACCCATTCATCCATCCATCTATCTGATTTCCTTTCTTGATGGTTTCTAGTTGCAAAAATAATGAATCACCCATACCCACCCAATCCTAGCCCACCCCTAGCTCCTACACCACCTCCCCTCCCAACTCCCTGAATTAACTAATACAAGTAGCTTAGAATGTGTTTACACATACTTTTCCCTTGTTCATACAAATATATATGCATACAGTCTCATTTATATAAATGTTGTTTGTTGATTTGTTTGTTGCTAAAAATATAGATTCATGACATAAACCAGTGTTTCTCAAAGCGTGGTCCCTACATCAGCAGCAGCAGCAGCAGCAGCACCTGGCTGTTAATATGCAAATTCTCAGGCCTTCACCAAAGATCTGCAGAGTCAGAAACTCTGGGCAGTGTGTTCTAGGAGACCTCCAGAGGCCCTGGTGCACCCTAAAGGGTGACAGTCACTGACAGACATGACTGGTCAACTTGGTTTTACACTTGACACATGACGGACATCTGTGCAAGTCAGTGGATAAGATCAGATACGTCTCTTCCTTTTCCTTTCTTATTTCTCTGTGCATACATACACGTCATTGTAGATAAACAAGATCATTTTGTATATATTCTGAGGTTTCTTATCGCAGCCTTCTTTTTAAACTGGCCTTTACTTTTCCATCCTCCCCCACACCTCCCACCTTCCCTCAAGTATCTAGTGCCCACACCTCAGCATGTGCCATTCTGAAATTTTCCCATGCTTCTATAGCATATAAAGCACACACATTCACGGGCTACTTGTTTAAATTGCTTGGTCTTAGAAAAATGGGATTATGTTATATAGACTGCTTATCAGTATTCTTATTCAAAAATGCCTCATGAAACTATTTCCAAGTTAACTGTTGTAGCTCCAAGTCGTTCATTATAATGACTGCATAATATGTCATGTATGATTTATTCAACCATCCAGATGTTGCTGGCATGGAACAAAGCTATGATAAATAACCTTATTAAAATATTCTTACATGTTGATGCTTTCCTTTCTATGGGATAGATTCCTAGGACAGGATTTCTAGGTCGAAAGGTAGGCTCATTCCTCATGGTAAGACGCTGCCATTTGCGTTCCCCAAAAAGGATTTAAAATTTACATTGCCGCCCATTGTGTGTGGCAGAGGACTTTCTTCCTCATATTCCCATCGGAGATAAGTGTTATCACTTGTTTAAACTTTGGCCAATCTGCTCGGAGCAAAGTGGTGACCCATGTTTCCTTTCTTGTCTGCCTAATCGACGTGTCTTAAAAATAGTCACATTGCATCGTGTATGACGAGGGGCAAGTTCTACGGCGTGGTTTTGATAATTAATTCCACGTTAGTGGAGCTCTCTGTAACTCCCTTCTCAAAGGGAGTAATATTTTCCCATTACAAACACCAAGAGAATGGGATTTATTTATTTATTTACTTACTTATTTATTTCTCACCTGAGGATATGTTTCTACAAACACCAAGAGAATGGGATTTATTTATTTATTTATTGCTCACCTGAGGATATGTTTTTATTGATTTTAAAGAGAGAAAGAGAAATCGATGTGAGGGAGAAATATCAATCGGTTGCCTCCGACATGCACTCTGAACCCATAACCCTTTGGTGCAAGGGATAACACTCCAACCAGCCGAGCCATCAGGCCAGAGCTGGGCCGTCTTTAAATTTCTGCTTAGAGAAATCTCAAAATCGAGATTTTTCCTCTTTCCTGTGACCTGAAAGTGAGACAGTATATCCTATATAATTCACACTCACTCCTGTACTCCCCAAATCTCTTTAGGTGTCCATTTTCAGCATCTTTCTACCTGTCTTGTTTATTCTAGGTCTCCAATATTCAACTTTAAAAATTAATTTTAAATAAGCTTGGGAATTAAATGCATTCTGTTGGCAACAACAGCCATAGTGTCTGAGTGTGTTGATAACCCTGGGGGTCTCTAGGAGATGGGGTCTGTTGCCATCCTCTGCTGGAAGCCTCATTGGCCAAGTCATCACTTGTGCAAACTAGAGGAGGAGGAGGAACCCCAGTTTTTACAACTGGATACCTCTCCCAAGCCAGGCCTCTTCCTACCACCTGTTCCCTACCCACTAGCACCATGGAGAACCGACAGCAGAGGGAAGTCCCATATGCACTGACAGAGCCTCAAGAAACTATGGGGACTGTGGCTTTACATCCAGGAGTCCGGGGGGCACCCTGACCTCTCTGGGATTGCCTGTCATTAAAGAAGGCTATGGGGGCTTATGAGCCCAGTAACAATTCCATGTGCAAAAGGACCTACTTGCCTAGCTCTGGAATTCTGGAAGTGGGAGCTGGGAGCCAGTCCATCAAGAGCGTAAGAAGATTGGAGCTCTGAGTGCATCCCTGGCCCCTCCCATTATCCAGTTGGTTCTTCTCCCTGCCTCTTCCTAGCAACAGAGCTGCCCCAGGGACCCACTGAAGGAAGACAATTGAAGATGTCACAGATGTAGTGATCTGAGAAGTGGTTCACTCTAAAGACATACATTTGATTGTTCGGAATTTATAGAATACTAGAGACCCCGACATCCCCCAAGGGGGCCCAGATTGCGAGAGAGCGCAGGTCAGGCTGAGGGACCCCACCGGTGCAAGATAGGGGCCGGGGAGGAATCATGGGAGGGCTCCAGGGTGTGTCTGGCCTGTCTCACCTAGTCCCAATCAGCCCGACCCCAGCAGCAAGCTAACCTGCAGGTCAGAGCGTCTGCCCTCTGGTGGTCAGTGCACGTCACAGCGACTGGTCAAACAGTTGAACGAACAGTCAGACACTTAGCATATTAGGCTTTTGTTATATAGGATTGTGTAATATTGTTCCTAAGTCTGAATAGTTATATTTTTTTCCTTCAACCAAACGCAGCATCTGGACCGTCTTATGAATCTCCCACTGGATTCCGTGAAGATGGAACCTTGTTATATCAAAGTCAACCTGCTCCAGGAGCGCTTGCAGGATCTCAAGAGCCGCTTCAGATTCCCCCACGTGGATCTGGTGGTGCAGCGGACACAGAACTACATGCAAGAGGTGGGTGCCCACAGAGGCCTCCTGGGGATGAGGACGGAGCCAGCAGGGAAGCAAGCTCAGGCAGATGGGACTGGCGTGCTTGCAGCCAGGAAGCATGGCCATTGCCTTTGTCATCGTATCTGTCCTTCTAGCTGGCTTCATCTTCCCTCCATGTCATAGGGTAGAAACATCATAGAGTAAAACACCATGGAGTAGAAACATCCAGGGAAATAAAGTGGCATTAATTAATAATTACTTGGTTTGTCAACCCCCTGGCAATGGGCAAGGAGACACCTGATTGGCGGTGTTGCTCTTATATCAATCAGGGGCAAAGCAGACGTACGGTCCTTAGTTCATCCTAGCTTGATGCCTGTGTCGGTGGCCAGAGCTGTTACATGCCTGAGGCACATAAAAGAAAAAACTACTTGGTTTGTCAAATCAGTGCTTCTAACCGTGGCTGCACATTAGGATCACCTGGGGAGCTTTTAAGAAATACTGATGCCTAGGCCCCACCTCCAGTGAGTCTGATTATATATTTTAATTATTTTCTAGTTATTAAAAGTATATCTATCTATAATTCAATAATTTTTAAAATTTCAATATTTTAAAATAATGTTAAAAATAATTTAGAAGGAGAGAGAGAGAGAGAAACATCAGTGTGAGAGAGAAACATGGATCTGCTGCCTCCTGCATGTCCCCTACTGAGGATGGAGCCTGCAGCCTGGGCATGTGCCCTGACAGGGAATTGAACCGGCAACCCTTTGGTGCATGGGACGACACCAACCAACTGAGCCAAACTGGCCAGGGCTATATTTTAATAATTTTTAAATATTTCCCCTACTCAATTCCACTGCTTCTAATATGTGTCCAGGATTGAGATCCACTGGCTTCAATTAATCCCCTCACCTAGAACCAATCAGTCACTCATAGCTTCCTATTTGGATTTCTTGTGTTTATTTGATAGGCTCCTTGTTTCCCTACGAGGAACAGGAATGAATAGCACAGACTCTTTCCATAGTATAGTGATTCATCAATGAAGAGAGGGTGTGCTCATTGAAGCCGTAAGAGCACAATTCTGTTTTCCAGATTTTCCAGGGCAGCTTATGGGGCTGAACACTCTGCCAGATCCCACTTTAGGGAACTGATAGGGAGACAGAGTCTTAGATAAATTCACTCCCATGTTGAGAATGCGCTGAGAAAGATATGTGTTGTATGCCATGGGAATTACAGGCTTGGAAAAGAAAGGAGCTTTTTATTATTTTTTTTCCTTAAAAAATATAGGCAGGATTAAGTGACACATCTTATTACCTAACCTCTGAGTTGTGAGGGATTAAAAATGGACAAGGAACAAAATTGGGCAATCGTTTGATAGAGTCCCTGTGATAATACTGAACCTGGTGGAGCTTACAGGGGCACGAGGGCAGAGAATACGAAATCTGAGCTGCTGCTGTTTCCTAACCCGTAACCGTGCCAGCCACTGTCTGCCCCAAGCCCTCACCCTGCCTCCCTTCCCATCCTGGCGGAGGTGTGAGGAGATGGACGGGAGGTGGAGAGAGAGAGAGATGCGGGGTAGCTTACATCCACCTGAACGTGCATGTGTGGAGTTAAAGCAGCCAAAAATAATTGGAGGTGACTCCCACCTCATCTTGATAAGCCCTGGCTGCAGGTATCAGAGATTAGAAGAAGGGGGTGACCACCGGAGATGGAAGTAATTTTAATCCTATAGTTTTGGGGTTTCCAGTTCAGGGTAGAAAGAGATGAGAAGAAAGGATGCATACATGTATATAGATACATGCATGTGTGTGTGTGTGTGTGTGTGTGTGTGTGCGTTTCCCGGTCTCTTACTGATCCCACTGTGGCCATGTGCCTATTTACTTCACAGTTCAGACAGTGGGGTGAGGACTCACCCCTGGGAAATCTGTAAAATAAGAGGTGGTCACCCCCTTCCTTCTCTCCAGCTGACTTGGGCGGACCTGTGGTGGTGCCCCCCCCTCTGACCGTGCTGTTTCTGTGTTGCCTTGGTTTCTAGCTCATGGAGAACGCAGTGTTCACTTTTGAACAATTGCTTTCCCCGCATCTCCAAGGAGAGGCCTCTAAAACAGCCATCGCCATTGAGAAGGTGAAGCTCCGAGTCTTAAAGGTAAAGCCACTTTTTCATGTGGGAAGCATAAAGCAAGACTGTGGCCCCTGGTTCTCTTTAACTGGAAAATACCAAGTTCTTTTACTCGCCCCCTTTTCTTTCTTATCTTTCGCATCTTTCCTTCCTGGGGTTCCAGTGACTATTAGGTACCAGCTGTTCCCCCAGCATGACTTTCATGCCTCTCCTGCCATCTAGTGGCTATTTTAGAGATCACAGGTCCTCACCATTGTTGCCCATCAGCTGAAGAGACATGTCCTAGTTTACTTTTAAAGCAATTGGATTTGATATTTATTGGCTGTCCACTATAAGCAAACCATTGTGATGGGTATTGCATGGAATATAAATATAGGCAAGGCACAGCCTATTTCTTCAAATAGTTTCCATTTAAATTAGGCAGCATATTTTAGAAAAATCGGCACCTCATGGCAAAGGAAATATACTCCAAGAAAAAGATACCTGCCAGAGAGAAAGAGAGAGAGAGAGAGAAAAGAGATTGGCACATTAAATTGTTCCATTTTTAATGTGTTTAATGTTTAAGTATGTATCAAAATAGTTGTAATAATAGTTTACATATATGTGCTGTATTTTTAAAGCTTGTTTAAACCTACCATGTTTCATTTGATCTTCACTAGAACTTGTGAGATAATTAGAATATGTTCCCATTGTAGAGATGAGGAAACTGACTCTCTAAGAGCTAACGTGACTTACTTGAGCTCAACAGGCTAGTCGATGGTGACCCTAGAGCTAAAATTACCCTTAAAACTAATGCATTAATTTTTTACTTCCTCCTTGCCCTACACCAGTGATTTTCAGCAGGTGAGCCACAAGAATTTTTCAAACATGCAATACCTGACTATTTTAAGTTGCACTGACCTCTTTTCCCTTAAATTGTCAAATAAAAAAATGACAACAACCAACACAACAATAGCCATCCAGCGTGAATTAATCAGTTATGTCTATTTTCAGATCAGCAAAAATATTTTTTTTGGCATGCCACAGAATTTTAGTAATTCATTTATGTGTGCCACGAGATGAAAAAAGTTGAAATTGTTACCCTAAACAGTGCTTGGAGCAGCAGATCAAAGTTCCTCAGAGCCTGGGAGGGGTCCCTGAATTTCAGACCTGATGTTGAGGTGTCACAGGCAGTAGGAGACTCTGGCAACCAAATTATTGAAATTAAAAGCAATATTTATCACGGGAACACAAATAATAATGAACTTGAAGTTGAGGAAGAAAAGATATCAATGTCAGCATCACCTCCAGTATCAGGACACTTTAATACCTCTTCCAACAGTTCCTTTCTTCTCTGGACACGCTTAAGGGCAAGAACATGCTTCCTGATATAAAAGCCAAAGTTCTCAGCGGCCATCCATTTAGTTCTACCCTCTTTGTTAAGTTCCTTCTTCCACCTGGCAGCCTTTCCTTGTTTGAATAGAGCTGTAATTTAGCCCCAAGTCACTACCTCCGGTATACATGCCTTCATCTCCTTCACCATTCTTTCTTTGGCCTGACCATTCTGCTCACATGCCTGTGACTATGCTCCAATTTGTCTGTGATCCCCTTAAAGTGACATCTAAAACCAAACTCTGGCCTCTCGGTTTGGATGATCCTTGCTGTACAAAGTGAATCATCGCCTTTCTTGTTCTAGATACTAAACTTCTTTGGTTAACATGCCACGGTGTTAATGTAGCTATGAGCCAGACACTCTCTTCCCTTGTGGAAACCACTACAACCCACCAATCCTGCTTTTAGGATGTAGAATGAAAGAAGTAGATGACCATCATTCCCAAGGACCCATCCAGGATAGGGGTGACAAAGCATAAATTCACCCCCCTGGTTCTCTCCCCAACTTCTTTATACGGCAGGAGTTGCTGTTTTGATCTGGCCTCAGTTTCCATATCTGTAAGAGGGGAGGGTAAGATGGGTCATGCCCTCCACCTGGAGTGTAAGAGAATTGCATAGAAAGGTCTGTGAGACCTTGGAAACGCCACAGGGGTCCTTAGAAATTAGGGGGAGGGGCGAAGGCGATGAAGTGGGTGGCTGAGGTTTTTGCTGAAGGGAAAGTTAACAGATTGCAGTATTGCTGTTTAGCATATGTTTCTCTCTGTGTATCGACAGCAATATGATTATGACAGCAGCACCATCCGGAAGAGGATATTTCAAGAGGCACTCGTTCAAATCACACTTCCCACCGTGCAGAAGGCCCTGGCGTCCACCTGCAAACCAGTAAGGGCTGGGTTCCTCCACAGAGCCTGCTCCTATTGCCGGTGAAGTTCAAGCACGGCTTATTTATTTACTTTCTTATTTTGGCCTCGATGTGCTTGCAAACGGTAGGAGGGGTTGGCAAACTTTTTCTGTCAATGGTCCAATAGTAAATATTTTGGGCTTCATGGGCCATACAATTTCTGTTGAAATTACCCAGCTCTGCCCCAAAGCAGCCACAGACTCTACGTAGACAAATGGGCACATCTGTGTTTCAGCATAACTTTAATCTACAAAACCCAGCAGCCGGCAGGATTTGCCGAGCCCTGGACCAGACAAAAATCTCGAAGGGTAATGATCTGAGTTTGAGCCAAGCTAAGGGTTGCCGTCGAACACCTGAGAATACCAGATGTCCCTCATTATAGAATGACTCCTAGGTCCAACGTGTCCTCTGAAACTTGGCCACTACCTCCAGGACAAGATCCGAAGTAACATGATTGATTACACGAGGATATTTGCTCTGTTGAATCCAGTAACGTTTGTTTAGTGAAACCCATGAAACAAATCATTTAAAGCTGTTAGGAGCCCCAGGCAACCCGAGACAGCCATGATCGTGACGTGTGACTTAGTCTTCAGAGCAGAGAAATGGATGAGCGGACTCTGGAGGCTGGGGCAAGACCTGGGTTCAGGTCCTGGCTCTCAGGCCTTGGGCAAGTCACTTTTTCTCTCTCTTAACTGAGATTTCCTCTTGTAAGAAAAATGGAGCTAGCAATATCTTGTGGTAGTCGTCTTAAGATTGAGAAGACTTGCCCGGCCAGTGTGGCTCAGTGGTTGAGCATCAACCTAGGAGCCAGAGGACTCATAGGTTCTATTCCCTGTCAGGGCACATACCCAGGTCTACGGGCTCAATCTCCAGTGAGGAGCATGAAGGAGGCAGTCGATTGATGATTCTCTCCCATCATTGATGTTTCTATCTCTCTCCCTTCCTCTCTGAAATCAATGAAAATATATTTTTTTAAAAATAAAAATACATTTTAAAAAAGATTGAGAAGACTAGCATGAGGCAATTAACATTTGATGGGTGCTTACCACGTGCAAGGCACGGTGTTAAGCACTTTGCATGGATTAGCTCAGTGATTCTCAGGACAGCCCTACGAGGAGATGCTATTTATACGCTGGTTGTAGCGATGAGGAGACCTGAGGGTTAAGTAGAGGGTCCCAAATCACAGAGGTGGTCACCAGCCGAGTCTGCACCCAGCTCACACTCCCTGGTAACATGTGCTGCCCTGGGAAAAAGGTAAATACTGCTATCACTACTTGGCCGTTTCAGAAATGATCTACGAGCCTGGACATTTTCAAGGCCTGCTGCCTCTTGGAGCAAATGACAAAGAGCATTTCGAATTTAAAAAGGGCCTTTTGGCAGCTTAGAGAGTCTCCAGGCATCGGAGCATTAGACTCCTTCCCATGAGTTATTTGACTGTAGCAATTTCTTCAGTCATTTTTATATTCTCTACATGCTGTTTTTCTCCCAAGTGTCATCAGCATATCTAGTTCCTGGCATTTCTTTGTGGGGGTGTATTTCTTTCATAGAAAGGGATGTGCAGAGGGGTAAAGAATCTGTCTGTATAACTGTCCCGTGGCCCACGTGGGTGGAAAGTGCAGCCGCCCGCAGGGTGACTCAGCCCGCCCATGGACGTGTCTGCACACAGACTTCCTGCTGAGCGTGTTTTCCTTTTCTACTCCCAAAGACGGTCTGGGGGCCTCGGAGCCTCCAGAAAAGGTGAAAGGTGAAGGGCAAGGCAAGTCTCCCTCCCATCTGCCCCCCTCTTTCCAAACGCCAGCCCAGTGGTACCCGATTTGTAACAGGCTCTTGGGATTTTTTCAATCAAGAGAGACTGGTTTCCAAAGAACCTGTCACCCAAGGTTTTCCGTAATGAAGGATAGGGTATTGGTGTCGAGAGATTTTTAAAAATCCGGATTTGCAGAACAGATACATCAGGGAGTTTCAGCTTCAGAGAAGAATTCTTTATCTTATTAAAGTGTTTCCTTTGGCTCTTAAAGTCGAGGCTTCCCAGATCTGTGGTACTAAAGTCAAGACACATGTTGGGATGTCCTGAGAAACTTTATAAAAAGTTATGGTTCCCCAAATCCCACCTGCAGGGATTCAATTTAATTGACCCAGGGAATTCAACGGATGTCACCGTTCAATCTATTTAATATGGAAGATCGAGTCCCTGTTCTGTAAAGCTGGACACGTCATGGCAGATTGTCATGACAGTATAAATGTCCCTAGGAATTATTCCTTCCCACAGCTGGCTGAAATTTTAAAGGTCTCCTGTTTATTCAGCAAACATGTGTTAAATATGTATCAGATATGATCTGGGCGCTGGGCCAGGCCAGCGTCCCTGCTTGTTGGGGTTCACAGCCTAGAGGCAGGAGGCAGGCACACGGTATGCGGTGTGATGGGCACAGCAGTAGCCTCATAGGAAGAGTTCCTCGTGGCTGAGTTCCAAAGAGGTTGCCCTACTTCGCTTGTGGGGTCAAGGAGGGCTGCAGAGTCCTGCTTTTGCCCAGTCCAGAGGGATGAGTAACAACAGGGGAATGAGGAGTGGGAGACCACGTGGGGACATGAAAGGGTGCGGCAGACATGAGCCCAGACCCCTCATTTCACGGAGGAAGAGAGAGGTGCAGAGTGGTGATGATGCTTGCCCGGGGTCCCACAGCCAGTCCAGGGCAGCGTCCGGGCTCCTGGGTAGTGCTCCTACTATCCGTCCTTGTCTGTGTGTCTCTCGGACCCTCTCAGAGTCATGGAAGCTCCTGTCTCTCAATCCCTTGTCTTTCCTCTAGGGTACATATAAAGGGACCCCAGGAGAACCCACTATGAACTGGTCCTGGGCTACTCCAGACCCCCAAGTCCTAGCACCGAGAGTTGTCTGAATGTGGTGACTCCTGACCGTCTGCTGTAAATCCTGCCCCTTCAGGCAAAAGATGTCAAATCCCACTCTAAGTCCCCGGCTCTCCAAGCCACATGTCGGAGCCCTTTTCCAGCACCATTGGGTGCAAGGACCTGAGTTAATCACTGGGATGCAAGTGGTGCTCTTTGATCCCTGCTCCGTCCTCAAGCTGGTAACAGGCAGGCCATTTGGAGACCCTTGGGAAGCAGAAGGGTTCAAGGACTTTGCGTCCTGCCTGGGTTGTCTTATGGGAATAGGTGAGTGTCAGGCCAGGGAGGGAAAGAGGAGCCCTTGACTTGAGATCCCAACGACCTGAAAAGGGGCCCCGTTCTAATGAAGTTAAACACACATCTACTCCAGGACCCAGCAGTCTCACTTCCAAGATGACTAGGTCCTTAAATCTACAAAACTCAGGCACGAGAAGGTTCATAGCATTTATAGTCCTCACAGTCAAAAAAAACGGGAGAAAAATCTCAGTATCCATCGACAGTAGTATGGATAAGCAATTTTAGTTTATTCATATGATGAATGTCCTATCAATAAAAGGGAACAAGCTACGGATACACGCGGCAACGTGGAAGAATCTCAGAAACAGCCCAAAGGAATGGAAAATTCCACTCACATAAAGTTCAAAAACAAGAAGGACTGAGGTCTTGTGATAGACATCGGATCAGTGCTTATCTCTGGAGGATTAGACTAGGAAAGGGCATGGGAGTGATCTCCTCTGTCTTGATTTGGCTTCTGGTTTCATGGGTTTATTTATGTGTTTAAAATCATTGAGCTGTACATTTTTTAAAAATATATTTTTATTGATTTCAGAGAGGAAGGGAGAGGGAGAGAAAGATAGAAACATCAATGATGAGAGAGAATCGATTGGCTGCCTCCTGCACGCCCCCTACTGGGGATCGAGTCCACAACCTGGGTTTGATTGGAATCGAACCCAGGACCCTTCAGTCCGCAGGCTGATGCTCTCTCTATCCATTGAGCCAAACCGGGTAGGACTGAGCTGTACTTTTAAAATGTTTGCATTGTATTGTGTGTGGCATATACCTTGGAAAGTACTGTTGGTATATTTTTTAAAGAGGAAGAAGGAAAGTACTTTGGTTATGAAAAAAAGGAGGGCCCCAGACTCAGTGACACCCCTTGAGATGATCAAATCTCTGGGTCTACCCTCTGTGTGCACCCAGCATAAGGAGTGGTGTCACAGGGGGTCAGGAGTGGGACATGTTCTTTCTTTTTTTGTTTTGTTAATCCTCAACCTAAGATATTTTTTCCATTGATTCTTAGAGAGAATGGAAGGCGGGGGGGGAGAGAGAGAGAGAGAGACATGGATATGAAAGAGACACACTGATTGGTTGCCTCCTGCACCCTGACCAGGGCCCGGGAATGAACTTGTAACCCAGATACGTGCCCTTGACTGGGAATCAAACCCAAAACACTTTAGTGGGTAGGCCGACGATCTAAACACTGAGCAACACCAGCCAGGGTGGGACTCATCCTTTTCATATCTGCATCTCATGCCTTGCCCTCTGTCTCTTGCTCTCCAGGAACTTCAGAAATACGAGCAGTTCATCTTCGCTGATCACACCAACATGATCCATGTTGAGAATGTGTACGAGGAGATTTTACATCAGATGCTCCTTGATGAAACCCTGAAAGGTGAGGGAGGTTCACCTGGTGCTAGAGGGAACTCTGGAGAGAGGGGAGCACCCCAGAAATGAGGCCCAGTTTGGCCAGCTGGGTTTGCTCAACAGATATGAAAAGGGAAGGGGAAATCGATGTTGCTAGGAGACAGAGAAGGGACACTAACCCTGACTGAGCAAGCACACACTAAACCAGCCCATTAGATATTCTTTCTCTTTCATTACAAATAAGAACTCTGTGAGATGGACATTTTAAACTCCGTTTTCAGATTAGAAAACTGAGGTTGGGAGAGATTAAATTTATGAGCAGCTGTCTTCTTCCAGCTGTTCCAGACAGAGCAGAGGAAAAAGGGCTCTTCTTAGTCACAGGCTCAGGACCCCACCCAGAGCGGGAGGAGGTGATCCCAGGAGCAGCTACTCTCCCAGCACATTCCTCACCGCCTCTCAGTGGGACAGGAAAGGACACAGGGTGATGGCACAGCACGCTGGGAGGCTTGCCAGGACTCCAGCGCCCACTGTGGAGGCAGCCTTGCTCGGCACAGGAGTGTGGCTAGGAAAACTTTGATGAAGATATGGAGGCTCATCCATAAAACTGTAGGCCCGAAACACATCTGATCTCCATGGGGAGGATGTTAAGCATCGAAAACCCCTCCACAAAGAACGCTGGCCAAGCACAGGCCCCGGGTCACAGTAGCCCCTCACCGGGGGGTTGAATGAGATAGGAATGTAAAGGGAAGGACTCACTGGGAAGGGCACAGTCAAGGTCACTGCCAGCCCACTAGGGCACCTTGGGGTGAGTTAGAAAAAGGCTACCTTCCCCTGAAACCTATATAATTTTATTAACCAATGTTACCCCCAATAAATTCAATTTTAAAAAGCCAACAAATTGGTAATTACAAAATAGTCACAGGAATGTAAAGTACAGCATAGGAAATATAGTCAATAATATTGTAATAACTATATATGGGGCCAGGTGTGGGTGCTAGAAATATTGGGGGGAGGGGGAGGTCACAGTGAAATATAGGCTTATGTCTAAGCGCTATGCTGTATACCTAAAGCAAATACAAAATAATACTGAATGTAAGCTATAATTGAAAAATAAAATTTAAATGATGAAAAAGAAATAATTTGTCTAATCTAGGGAGGACAATGGTAACAACAGCAATAAAATAAGTCCTTATTTACAAAAAGAAAAGAAAAAGAGCTTGACTGCTCTCTGTCCAAATAGTGCCATGATACGCTGATTTTATGAGAGCAGGACACGCTCCTGCTAGCTGCTGGGAAATTATTATGCTGACTATGCAGACCTGTCCTGTCTCTCATGTCAGCAGCACCCGCTTGGAGGTGATACTGTTGGGCATAGCGCAGCCTGCACAGCCATAAGCAAAGGCCTAGTGTCAAAACTGCCAGCTGCTGTCGTCATCATCGTTCTTCTTCCTTGGAGGCCTCTAAGGCTGAGCTGGGTGTGCAGAGAGCCTCATTTTGGAATGCATGGTTAGTTTTGCCCTAGCATCTTTGCTGCAAGCATTTTTGCCAGACATTTTTTTTTTTTTTTTTTGCCCCATAACTAATTGGCTGTAGGCAATTTTGTCGTAAAAAAAAAAAAAGATAAAATTATTACACCCTAACCGGTTTGGCTCTGTGGACTGTAAGGTCCCAGGTTCGATTCCGGTCAAAGGCATGTACCTTGGTTGTGGGCACATCCCCAGTAGGAGATGTGCAGGAGGCAGCTGATCGATGTTTCTCTCTCATCAATGTTTCTAACTCTCTATCCCTCTCCCTTCCTCTCTGTGAAAAATCAATAAAATATATTTCTTAAAAAAGATAAAATTATGACAAATTAAAGAGGTATATTAAAACTGAATAACCAAATTAGAAAGACTTCATTGCAAAACGCAAAATATTTGAATTTGTTACAAATGTGCATAGATTCACGGCAATACTGCGCAAATAGCTGATATTGTTTTGTAGATTGTACATAAGGTCTTGTCCTTGTTCTACGGGAAATGTGGGTTCAACTCTGAGCCCTCAGAGGCCTTTGGTGCCTCGCTTTCTCTTCCCAATTCAGTGTTTCAAGATAAGCAACCAACTACCTCTTGGGGCAAAAATCATCACCACCCAGAAAAAATGCTAACTCTTTTAAGACCACCACTATTTATTTTCTCCACTTTTTGTCAATGGAGAAATGAAACCAAACTGACAAAAAATAAAAACAAAGCACCACAAAACCCCAAACTGTCAACCAGTTTTTTAATCTTTTTTTTTTAACAGCAAAATTGCCTTACAGCCATTTAGTTATGCATCGAAAATGTTTTCGTCAAAAATGCTGTGGCATCTGGCTGCGGTGGCTCAGTGGTTGAGTGTAAACCTATGAACCAGGAGGTCACGGTTCGATTCCCGGTCAGGGCACATGCTGGGTTGTGGGCTCGATCCCCAGTGGGGGGCATGCATGAGGCAGCCGATCAATGATTCTCTCTCATCATTGATGTTTCTATCTCCCTCTCCCTTCCTCTCTGAAATCAATAATATATATATAATTTTCTTTTTTTTTTTTAATGCTTGTGGCAAAGGCATCTACAGCAAAGATGCTAGGGCGAAAGTACCCAAATCCATTTTGGAGACAACAGGCCAACAGGGCTCTCTCTACATGTTCAGCACTGAGAACCTGTACTGAACAGGTTCACATTCAGGGCTGGCCTGTGGGAAAAAGTAGAGAAATGTACGTCATGCTCCTTAATGTCCTGGAGGCATGTCAGTCATGGGGAATAGACTGGAACTGCACAGGTAAGAGCTAATAAAATGTGACGGGGGCCTCATGAGTGATCCAGGTGATGGCATTATGGATTGTGAGCTCCTTGCTAGCAAAGGCCGCATTTTATTCATCTTTGCATTCCCGGAGCCTGTCCCCTAGTCTGTGTCCAGTGTTTGCTGTTTGAGTAAATGAAATATGTGACAAAATAGTCCACAGACCCCCAGTAACAACGAACACCACAGAGGTCCAGAGTTCAGAATGAGGCTGCGTTCATCAGGGAGGGCTACCTGGAAGAGGGTGGATGTGAGCTGGGATTTGAACTTGAGAAATCTGGGCAGCCAGAAAGGCTGAGAGGGGAGTCTGGCTTCTGGGTAAAAAATCAAGAAAAGCCGTTTGGCCGGGGCAGGGCGTTAACGTCGTGTTTTGTGTTCTGGTGTCTCAGTGATAAAGGAAGCAGCGATCCTGAAGAAACACAACCTATTCGAAGACAACATGGCCTTGCCCAGTGAGAGTGTGTCCAGCTTGACCGACCTGAAGACCCCCGTGGGGTCCAACCAGGCCAGCCCCGCCCGGAGAGCCTCGGCCATTCTGCTCGGAGTGGCCGATGGTGAGACCCCCAGTAACGACGTGTTCCCGGAACCAGAGGAAAAGCAGCAGCCTGGGGTCCCTAGTCTGGTGGCCCAAGAAGAAAGCCTTTCTTCCCCAGGTGGGGACGCGCAGGGGGTTCGTTCAGGCACAGGTGACCCTGTCGTGAACCCCGTGGCTGCAGAGGACACAGCAGGAGCCCGGGGCACCCGCTCATCAGAGCTGGAGTTTGCAGGGACTCCTGCGGACAGAGAAGCCGCCACCCACCAAGAGCCACAACCCCTCTCTGCCTCATGCTCCTTAAAGGAGCTCAGAAGTTTGTTGACGGTGACCGTCGAGGTACCCATGGTGTCTGCCACCCTCGAGACTGAAAAAGATACACATCCGGAGACCCTTGTTCCCCAAGAAATTGACAAAGAAGAGGAAACGACCCAAATCCACACGGAGGCCACTCAAGCAGCTGCCTCCAGTCAGGACGACAGTGAAGAAGGTGGAGTCGGGGAGAGGGAGGCCCATTCTCCAGCTGCCGAGGTGGAGGCCGAGGCCGGGGCCAGTGGGGTGGAGTCAGGGGGATGTGCAGAGGCTCAGCCAGCCTGCGGGGGGCTCAGCCAGGGCCCCAGCGGCCCAGGCCCCACAGAGGAGCAGGCGGAGGCTGGGGACCCCACCGGGAGGGACACCCATGAAGGAGGTAAGGCCGTGCCACAGGAAGGCTGCATTTTAAACTCTGCCCCCATGGGCCCCAGGGAGAGCCAGCCCTCTGTGGAAGAAGCGGTGGGAGGGAAAAGTGGCCCAGCCCAGGGTGCTGCCGACGTGGGTGCAGAGGAGGTTAAGGGTCCCCGTGTTTACGAGTGTCAGTGGGTGGTGGAGAATGCTCCAAACACCGACATCCTGGGTCCACAGGAAGAGGATGCGAGGGAGAGTCCCCCAGAGCAGCCCTCGGAGGAGTGAAAGGGACAATTTGGCAAAAGTATCTCTATGAACAAACCCAGCCAATGGGTTAATTATGGGTACACTTAGCGGGTGCATGGGATTGTTACAAAAAAGTAAAAAAAAAAAAGTATTACCTACTTCCTTAATCTGTAGAATGAAATCAGAGGGGATGCACACAGGCCACCAGCACTGAGGCAAACCCTTGTGGAACTGAGCTGTTCTGCCATGAATTCCTGCTTTAGCGTTTTCATAGGAATTACAAAGGCAATGGGGTGTGTGGGGTGAGAGGCAGCTGAGGGTGTCCGGGGGAGGGAGTGGGGGTCGCATTGAGGACAGAGAACACAGTAGGAGCTTGGTTTTCAATACACTCTGCAGTGTCTTCTAATGCACTTTAAGTCTTTTCCATTCTTTGTAAGAATACAGATCTATGCTGTAAATCCCACTACACTATATGGACTGCTCTGTCTCTTAAGGACTCGGCCTTTGCCCACGGTCAGGCTGCAGGAAAGGGTAGGTGGTGGGCACAGGCACCACCGCTGTGGGCAGCCCCACAGGGCCTGAGAGCTCGGGGAGGCTGGGCAGGAACAGAGGAAGGCAGTGGTCTGTGCAACTGTCTGGGCCTGGTACTAAATCTGCTCTCAATGTCTTGTTAATTGATTTGTTGATTCTTATTCATTAATCACCTTTTGAGGAAATTCAGACAAAAATTTCCCTGTCATGTTTAAGCTTTCCAAATTAGCCTTAAATTGTGCAGAGAAAGAGCTTAGCTAAATTATTGGGCATAAAGTCTTCCAATTAAACACATGTTATTGAAACAGATACTCTATGCCACATGCTGTGTGTTAGGCATCATACGAGAGAGAGAGAGAGAGAGAGAGAGAGAAAGAAAGAAGGAAAGATAAGGTGCCTTGTTCAGTATACATTAAAAGGCCCAAGGAAATTTACTCTAAGAAAACACCTATTTTCAAATGATATGTTTTCTGTGTTGGCATGAAAGCTGCCTGTCTTTCCATTAAAACAGTCCTGCTTCACTCCCAGAAGGAAATAAAGTGAGTGCATGAAAAAAATGAATCAGAAAGAAAGATGGAAAAAAAGGGAGAGAGAGAGAAGAGGGAGAGAGAGAGAGAAAAGCCAAGGTATATATACATACCATCAGGTTCCAAAGATGTTACCAAAAGTAGAAATCATTTGTTTAGTCATTTAGCAAGTTGGGGTCATTATGTCCCAGGTGCTGGAGATCGGTGGTTATAAGATCTGGTCCTTTCTCCCAGAACTTACACTGTTAGCGGAAATAGACACAGACATCTTCTAAATCCATTGTGACCTACAACTGTTAACGTTCAAGGTGGACTGGACCTCCAAAAGATCGAATAAAGGAGTGTCCTATTGTCCTTCAGAAAATACCAGTTTATCTCCTAAAAGCTTCAGTCCCGGTACCACATCTTCATACTTCCACAGATTTTGATATCAGATCCCAACATATTGCCCTAAGAGCTCGTTTTGATCATCATCAGCTTGTAAGTTTATATCAGTTCTTTAGAGGATTTGCCCCAGAGTTCAACCATCTAAGCAAGAATTCCAATATCTCCCTCTCCACCTCCTCACGAAGAATTTCTTGGATTTCTAGGTCTTTAAGGATGAAAGAGAATCAGTATCAACATCGTCTCCTATGATAACGTTCTTTGAGTGCTTAGACCCTCACGGCTAGAAAGGATCTCCTTACAGACACAGAAGGTCCCTGGGCCCTGTACCACCCAGCACTCCCTCTTGTCCTTGCATTTAGCATGGAATATGGAAGTTATGTCTCTTTTAGGGGCTCTTCTCTTCAAGGACAGAAACTAGGGTTTAGTCATCCTATGCGCTTCCTGGTAGAATAGAAACACTCAGCCTGGACTCCTGGCTCCCTGCCTCCTCAAGTCACATGAATATCCTTAGTGCCTAGCCAGGAACTGGCCTGTGGCAGGCTGCTCAGGACATGTGAGCACCGACACACACCGCTCCGCTGTGCTGGGGCTTTTTGGCGCTTGCTGTCAGCCAGGGAGACTTTTTCTTTTTTTTAAATTGGGCTTTCTGCCCTTGGGGAGTCTTCCCTTAAATCAGGTCCAAAGGGCAGATGGCCATCTGGTCAGATGCCCTGGCCAGCAAGGCAAGGAGCCAAAGGAGCAGCGCCCAGCCCTGCCAGGGACCGCCTTCTCTCCAGGAGAACTGTGGCGAGGGAGGAGGTCCCAGCCCAGGCCACCACCACACAGGGGCTTCCCGGCTTCCTCCCTTTTCTCTCATCAGGGCTTCTTGAACCCTTGGAAAGCGGAGTCATTATTTCCAACCCTAGAGGAGGGTCCACGTCACTGCATTGGATGGATGAGCATCAGTGCCCTCCCTTACCCGTTCTGTGGGCCCCAGGGGACCGGGCACTGAATGGGAGGACGCACTCGAGAACACCATCAAAGGATTTTTCTGTGCACATTTCACAAAAGACAAACTCACTAAGCTATGCAGGATGACTGTTCCGTTTTTAGATGGAACAGGAAACTAGAGTGCATTTGAAGTATTCCTTATTCATCTTAACATGTTGGATGGGATAACTTCAGATGACCGCGCATTTGTTGCTTTCGATACGGACGTCTTTGTATTGCTCCAGTGGTTTCCGGGTTGGAGCGAGGTGACTGTGATTTCTCTGAGCAGCAGGCGAGCCTCTCTCTGCAGGCTGCATTGGGAGTCTCTCCCAGGGGCAGATCTGTTAGAAAGGCTTCAAATCTCAAGACACAGTTTTTGGCAAAAATTCTGTAACTTGAAACTAGTTACGTTACTATTGACCTTTCACAAAAAAATAATATTTTTCTTAGAAAAAATTAGCTCATCATTTCCTCCTTTGCAGCTTGGAGCTGAGACAGTAGTGCCTTGCATTATGGAGAGTAAATTCTCTTAAAAAAAATATTTGGGCCCTAACCGGTTTGGCTCAATGCATAGAGCGTCGGCCTGTGGATTCAAGGGTCCCAGGTTCGATTCCGGTCAAGGGCATGTACCTTGGTTGCAGGCACATACCCAGTAGGGAGTGTGCAGGAGGCAGCTGATCGATGTTTCTCTCTCATCGATGTTTCTAACTCTCTATCCCTCTCCCTTCCTCTCTGTAAGAAATCAATAAAATATATTTTAAAAAAATATTTGGGGAACCACAAGGATAAGATTCCAATTTGTCCAAAAGCTTTATAAAGAGGCTGAGTGAGAAAAACTGCAGGTCAGTAGGCTTGATCTTCTACATTTGATTAAGAAGATTCTCAAGCCTGCTTTTGTAACCTCCAGGTTGTAGCCAGTGATTTCTAAGGGTTTCTCAATTCTCCCAGACAGGTGACTTTATTTCTTTACTAGAGGCCCAGTGCACGAAATTCATGCACTGGTAGGGTCCCTAGTGGCTGCCGGCTGCTGACCGGGGCCTCCCTCCCTTCCCCTGGCCAGCCCTGCCCCTGGACAACTCCTGGTCGAGGGGACAATTTGCATACTATGCTTTTATTATATAAGATAAGTGCTAAATGACAGGGAAGAGAAGGACATCACTGACTAAAACAATAATACCGTTTCACTAGATAGAAAAAGTGGCTACCTGTGCCTTCTCTTTCCCATAAACAAACAGGGTTGGAATTTGCCTTCTGAAGCCTTCAACTTCAAGGAAAAAATCGACACTGTGGACTGATGATTTTATTTTGTTTTGTTTTGTTTTTGGTCACTATATAAAGCAAATAAACATAAAACACTTTGTAACCATGTATTTACTCTGCCAAGTGCCAATATTCCAATAAAATGTTCATCCTTGGAGAAGGGTCCAGTTGTCATATTTATTTGGATTTGGGCTGGTTTCATCTTTTTTAGCAAATGCCATGACTTGAGCTGGGAGGAACAGCCCTCAGAGACGGAAGGTGGGTCACAGTCACTGTATTACGGAACTTTTAATTTTCTGTCATCAGGAAGAAATCCACAGGGAAATCACTTACTAGTAATGTCAGATGTAATTACGCTTTGAAACTGCATATGCTTATTTCTCTAGGAATTAGATTATGTCTAAATACAGCAATGGGCAAATTACTCTTGACGTAATTGAACTGCTGTTCAAACCAATTTATTTTCAGCGGGTAACCCTGAGTGAAACATTCATTCTTTCTATGCTTATAAGCAACACAATGTTTACTCACCAATGTTGACAGTTGCTCATTCATCCATGAATCCACTTCACCCTAAATATAATGATTGTGTATCTATCGTATGCAGGCACTCTAGTGGGTGCTGGACAAACAGAGGCGAACATGGCGGGTGTGATCCCTACACCTCAAATTTGCAGGGTGAACATGGCGAGGGAGAGCGCAAAAAGGTATTTACTTCCTTGCCTGGCATGAACCTTGTCTATAATCTCAGCTTTAATTCTATCTACACCAACAGCTTCAGACAAGAGAGGAAGGAACACGGGAGAAATCAAGTCCAGGGGAGATGGGACACTCAGTGTGGCATAAACTTCACCACTCCTCTCCTCCTTCCACAGCAAGCATGCAGTGGGCAGGAACTATTCCCAGAGCGGCTCCCCCACTACTTCTGTTTAGGGCCAATAATCGGATTGGAACTGGAGGTGAGTGAGTTGATTTGAAACTACTTCAGCGTAGTTTTTCTTAGATTACATGTTTACATGGTATGGCTGGGATGGGACTGATGGTGATCTTGAGAGGAGCCAACTAAACCTGTATGCCAGTGTCTGTAGTTGCCATGTTAATAATTGTCAAGAACTAGAAAACAACCCATATGTCCTGTGGTACATCCATATGATAGATTACTACTCAACAATAAAAAGGAATGCTCTGCTGACATATAGGGTAACATGGATGAGTCTCAAAATAATTAGACAGAATGGACAAGGCCAGACAAAAAAAAAAAGGATGCCTACTATATACTTCCTTTTATATGACATTCTAGGAAAGGACAAATTTAGAGATAAAAATAGATCATCAGTTTCCTGCATCTGAGGATCGGTAAGTTGGGGAGACTGATTGTGGAGTGGCATGTAAGGGAATTTGGGGGGTGAACTATTCTAGATCTTGATTATGGTGGTTGCTCTGTGACTATACGCATTTGTTAACACATAACTGTATCCTGAAAAGGGATTCTTTGGGTGCATTTACTCCTGTCTTTAGGCCTGTATAGAATTGAGAGTGATACAGAGCCAAAAGGGAAAAGCCACTAGAAATGGTTGCCAAGGTAAAATTGGTTCCCTAAAATAACCATTTGATGAGTACTGTTCTGCAGGGCTCTGCCGCTTCTTTGAAGTTCTGATCTGGACTCAAATCTTCTTCCCCAGAATTCCGATGATGATGCCTTGGCATCTGCCAGACCATCTTGCTGGCACTGTCTTCCCACAGTGGAGAGCCAGGCACACACCGGGGCATGGCAAGTGCTGGCAGACTGCCCAGTGGGGGGTTAGGAACTCCTAGGCTCTACTTCCAGTCACGTGCCACTGAGGAAGCCCCCAGGAGGTCTAACATGAAAGACAACTTCATTTACTTAAGGCCATTACCGCTTGCTTGACATGCCTTAAGAAATCACAAATATGAGAGAGATCACACTCATGAAAGCACAACATGACATTCGGGGGGAAAACACAACATCTGGTTATATGAACTCTGAAAAGCCTAACTTTAAAATTTTTCTTCTGAATATCCTTTGATGTATAAGCCTTTTATTTATTTATTTATTTATTTTGATTCTTTGAAAAATAGTGGTTTCCAGATCAAAACCACAGATAGAAACTTTCTCTAGGTGGGTAAAAATCACCTGGAAATTGCTAGACTCTGTTAAAGGGGATGAGATTAACACATTGACACAAAGCATTTTATTTTATTTTTAAATATTTTTTTAAATATATTTTTATTGCTTTCAGAGAAGAAGGGAGAGGGAGAGATGGAAACATCAATGATGAGAGAGAATCACTGACCGGCTGCCGCCTGCAGGGCCCCTACTGGGGATTGAGCCTGCAACCTGGGCATGTGCTCTTGACCGGAATCAAACCTGGAACCCTTCAGTCCGCAGTCCGGCGCTATATCCACTGAGCCAAACTGGCTAGGGTGACACAAAGCATTTTATATAAATTTCCGTGAACAAGACAATCTCATAATTACTCTTTAAAATTTAGTAAGCCCATAAAAATTGGAGAGACACTCCTTTAAATGAAATATTTTTTATTCTTAGTTATATAACAATTATCATAAAAGCAATAACTTTGTTCCACTTAATTAAAACAGATACTGATGCCCCAACTGGGAATCACACTGTGACCTCCTGGTGCATGGGCTGATACTTAACCACTGAGCTATATAGGCCAGGCAAAACCACTTCTGTTTGACTAGTATATAGTCACACTTCCTTGGGTGACCTGTCTCTTAATTTCCCTGCTTTCTCGCCAAAAACTAATATTAAGTAAGTTGAATAACTTGGCAAACCATTAAGTTTGTTTTTAAAACTTCTAACAGACTCCACCTGTCCAAAAGTGGACCAGTAAATAACAACCCTGTGTACTTTTAATCATATTTAATTTTTTTAAATTCCAGGAGCAACTGCAATTACTAGTGTTACAGCCTTTACTGTTTACTAGCTGTGTCTTTTATCACCAGGAGATTTAAATACTCTCAAGGGAAGTTGCCTTGCAGTATTTCCAGTAACGCATTATTCCTATGCATCTTATACAGAGGAGAAAGGGAAAGTCCTAAAGATAAGCTGGCAAAACCGCTGCAACTGTAAAATATACTCAAGGCTCAGACAAAGAGGATTTTTTTAAAAACACCTCTCTAAGGAGATCCTATTATTTGTTGATAGTACTTAGGGATTTGATAGATAAACTATACATGATAAGCAAAATTAAAAGTAAAATGGGACAGATTTTTCACAGTTAACTAATTTTATAGGGTGTCCCAAAATTCAAATCTTGCATGAGCATTAACAACAACAAAAAATAAAAGCCTAATTTTACTTGGTTTATTGAGTCAGATTCTAATATCTGTTGCCCTTTGATTTCAATCCTTTCAATTTGATAAGCATTACCAAGTACCAGTTATGGCCCAGGAGCAGGGACAATGAAGGCCAATGAAGACCACGGCTTTGCGTATTTGCCAGCACAGCCGTGGAGGCCATTTACCCGATGTGCTATTCCATACATAACCCTATACTGTATACTTTATGAATCAATAAAAAATTTACAATTTTAATTATAAACCTGTGTTTTCTATCAAAATTACTTCTTGTGTGAATTTTGGGACACCCTATAGGAATCCAGGAACATATATAAAAGTCATATTTGCGTCTTCACTGTTAAGTATATATAACCATGATTGTAAAAACACCAAAGCAAGACTTTGGCATAGAATGCCAAGTGTCTCCTAATATTTGCTATCCTCTGCTCCTTTCTAGTTATAGAATCTCCTGGGTTTGAACTGGGCACGTGTCTGCCCAGTTAGAGGCTAAAAATCTCAGCCTTCCTTGTAGCTAGGTGTGACCAATTGATTAACTCTTTTCCAATGAGAAGTGAGCATTGGACGTGATGTGTGGACCTTCCTGGTCACATCCTTTTAAATATATATATAAAATTGATTTTAGAGAGGAAGGAAAAGGGAGAGAGAGAGAGAAACATCAATGATGAGAATCATTGATTGGCTGCCTTCTGCACGCCCCTACTGGGGATTGAGCCCACAACCCAGGCATGTGCCCTTGACTGGGACCCTTCAATCCACAGGCTGACGCTCTAGCCACTGAGTCAAACCGGCTAGGGCTGGTCACATCCTTTATAAAGGAAACTGCTTGCCCTCTTCTCTCTCCCTTCCAGACGAGCTGAAAGGTTTATGTGATTCTGGTGAAGCAGCTTGTACGATAGAGATGCCTACCAGCGGACAGCATA